GGCGCTGCGCGGGCAGGGGAGCTCCGGGCGCAGCTGGAAACGTCGGCGGCCAGACTGTGCCCAGAGTCGGGGATTACGTGAGGTTACAAGAGCGTTAACTCGGAAAGCAAAGCCTGCCCGCGAAGCAGGGCCACTTCGTCATGGTCGTGGACGCCAACAGCCCCCCAGCCCCTCAGAGCATTGACAGGCCAGGGCCATGCGGGGCTCTCTGCAGAACCGGCTTCTTGTAACTTCAGGTCAGGGCCACATAGTGTCATGTATTTCCAACCCAAGGCAAAACTAAACCGGATTCAGCTCTCAGCCGGCAGTTACTGAAAACAAATGACTCCGAATCCTCACAGTTGTCACAACCTTACCCAGCTCGACCTGGACCTTGGTCCACGGAGCTCCGCTGCTCAGATTGCTCCCATCGCTGCCTGACTGCGGGGACGGACATTGACCTCCAAATTCTTAAGACTCGGAGACTGGAAAGGGGGTCTGAGTAAAACATGCTCTTTCTCAGTCACGGAACCGAGCCCCGTCCCTTCACTCTTCCTACATGTTCTAGAGATAAGAGGGGACGGCGGGGGCTACGTTTTTGGGATTCCTGGTTTGTGAGGCGTTTCTTAAGGGCCATTTTATCTCCTGGCAGCCCTGCCAGGCCCAAGAGGGGTCTCAATCCCCACCTGCAGGACTGGGGTGGGGTGGGGTTGAGGGTTTCGCCCCTTGTGCCTTAGGAAGTCACAAGATCATGGCCACATGCCCCCAAATGGTCTTAGGGGCTTGGAACAGTGGCTGTAAGAGGTTTTAGTAAAACCGAGAAGCAGCTTGCACCCCCTGCCTCCTTGGCCACAGGCCAGCGCAGCGAGCACCCCTGATTTCCCAAGAGGAACCCCAGGCCCAGACATGAGGGGATTCTGTGAAATCAGGGGATCGGCTGGAGACAGAGAAGAGAAGCCAGGTCTCGTCTGTCCCTCCACCTCCCCAGCACACAGCTCCCCCCAGAAGCCGGACGGAGCTCACTCCTTCCCGGCCGAGGGAGCTTCAGGTGTAGGAAGGGAAGCCAGCAAGCCTCCGTTCTCCCGGCAAACGCGCCAACCTTTTTTTTTTAACTTGTCTTTATTGTTGAAAGTATTACAGATGTCTTCTTTTTCCCTCCATTGACCCCCTCCGACCCCCTCCGACCCCCCCAGGCCTTCATTCGCTCTTGTCTGTGCCCCTGGGTTATGCACATATGCATGTCAGTTCTTAAAGTAAGTTAGAGACAAAGTGTCGCCTTCAAACGCAAAATTTTCGGGTCTTCCAGACGTCCCCAGTTATCCTGGTTGGTTGTTCTGTTTGTGTTTTCCTAACTGCAGCTTAAAGAACAGGCTTAGAACACAGATCCGTACAGTTCGTTC